ATTAATAAGGAATTCAAGATATATAATAAAGTTATACTTTATATAAAGAATATTTAATAGCTATAACCTAGTATAAAGCTAGCAGATAGATATCTCGGTTCCTTTAAAGTTCTAGAAATTATAGAAATATATAAATAGATATATTATTTGGAATTACTACTATTATATTAGATCTATAATATTTTCTATATTTCTCTTTTGGAATTATAGTATCTATAAACTGGTACTATAGTAGAACTAGAGCCGGTCGAGATTAAAAGTAAAGAGGAATTCGAGATAGAATCTATTATAGCCTATAGGAAGAATAGAAAAGAAAGGGAATATCTCGTTTATTAGAAGGGCTATTTACTAGTAGATAATATATAGGAACTACCAAGTAATCTGGAGAATATAGTTTAAGAATTATAAGAATATTTGGAAAAGAATAATATTATAATACTATTAGCCAAATAGAGATATAAAAGATAAATACTTTTATTAGGAAACTATTAAAAAACTATATATTTATTCTTGGAAAAACTATATAAAAATTATTAAAAACTCTAATTTCTATATCCTATAAATACCCTATTCTTATAACTACTTTCTACTATCTTTATTATTATTCTTATTAGGATCCTTTCGAGAAATAGGTAATAAATTAGCCTATAAAGCTATTAGCTATTAGTAAGAAATAAAGAAGAAATAAGCTTATTTAATACCGAAAAATATTAACTATACTATTAAGAGTACTTTATACTTATATTAAGCTAGTAAGAATTACTTAACCTATTTCTTAGATTATTAGAGAAATCCGTTAGCCTCGAATAATAGCTTTAATATAAGAAGTATATATAGTTTAGTATAAAAGAAAGGTAGTAATAGCCTTTTTCCTTTTGGATAAAGAATAGGGAAGATACTTATATATATTAATAGCTTAAAAAAGGCAGTTTAACTATACTATATATACTTAAGGAACCTTAGATAATATTAGAATAAGGAATAAAAGAAGGAATTTACAACTTATAGGATTATATTTCTTATTTTTAGAATAGTAGTAATTATATACCGAGCAATTATTACTCTTAATATAAGTAAGATCAGGAAACTTGGTAATATTCTTGGAATATTAAAGATAGTAAGAGCAAATTAAGGATATAGGAATATTGGCCAAACGGGTAGTAATAGGCTAACAAGTATTAAGAGAAGTATTTATTTTAATAGATAAAGAAGTAGAAAAGGGAATTAGAAGGGAACTTAAATAAAGCTTAAATAAGGCTTAAAGGAGCTTAAAGGAGCTTAAAAAAGGCTTAAAGAAAGAAGATAAGGGATAAGAAGGAACTAGATACGGTATTATAGTTAAGGAAAAGGAAGATTAATTAGTAGAAAAAGAGAGATCTTTTTATAATACCTTTTCCCCGAATAGTAATTATAAATTCGGAACCGGCTCTATACTAGGAATATCCAGAAAATTCCAAAAAAGGGATTTATAAATAAATTAGAAGATCGGATTAACTTTTCCAAACTCTTGGGCCTATAGAATAATAATTTATTTGCAAATAGAAGCTAAGTTAGGATTTATAAACTAATTAGGAGATCAGATAAGCTTTATATCCGATAGTATATACTATATTTATACTACCTTTATAAGGGGGAATTACCAGAGGTAATTTATAAACCAGCTAGAAAGGGTTAGTAAACTATATTCTCAACTCTATTATCTGGTATAATAATAGAGTAATTATAGGAAGTCTTTAGGGAAAGCCAGTAGTCAGGAAAGTTTCAGAGAAATATTTATAAAGCTATTTATAGTTTTCCCAGGCCTCTTAGAGACAAGGGCCCAGAGAAGGAATTAATATAATAGGTATATATAATAGTATATAGACAGGTATCAGATATTATAAATCTAGTTTCCTATTTTGGGTATAGCTTGCAATCGGAATTATATGGATTATATAGGATTTCCTAATTAAGTAAAGGGCTTTATATGCCTGGCTAAGTACTAGAGAATATATAGGAAGACACTCCTAGCTTTGGAAGGGGCATTAATTAGTCTCTTATTAGAATTAATTCTTGGAATCAGTTATACTTATAAGTATTACTCTATAGCTTATTTACCTTAACTACTTGTATATTACCCTACTATTATATACCTTATATATATAAAGCTTTTTCTAGTTTTTATAAAATAGGAAATCCTTTATAAAATTATTTTTATAATTCCGGTAATATTTATTTATATATTTTATTTTCTTAATAAGAATAAAAAGCATTTTATACTAGTTATTTTATCTTATATAATTATTTATTAGAATTATTTTCTTTATAAATCCTATTTATTTAGTTATATAAGCAGGTAATTTATAAATATAAGCTATAATATTATATATTTTACTAAGTAAATCTAAGAGCCTAAACTTGACTTTCTTTCTTTTATTATTACTAATTTTTTAAATCTATTCCTATTACTTATATAACTCAAATTCCTTTATTTCAACTAATTTAGAGAATAAGAAAGCTTATATTATAAGATTAATAATATAGCTAATATAGCGAATTTATATTTGCTATATATTTTATTTAATATTAAGCTCTTATTTCTAGTATACTTGAATTACCTTATAAAGAATTCTATTAGTTCTAGTATTATTATTTATAATAGCTCTAAGCTTTTATATAATATTATAGTTTTCTAGAACTAGAAAGAGAACTAAGAATTACTTTTCTCCTGAGTAGCTATAGACTAGTTTAAGAGCAAGAAAAACCTTTTAATACTTAAATTTATATAAAATAAAATAGATATAAATAGCTAAAAAAAGAAAGTAATTTAGGGAAGTCTAAATATCTAAGGAAATATAAATATATAAGATTACTAATTAGAGAACTTATTATATAATATCTTTATATTAAATTCAGGATTCTTTAACTTTAATAAAAATAGTAAAGTAAGATATGGGAATTATATTTTTATAAGCTTTATTTAAAAGCTAGTAAAGTATATAGAACTCTGGCTATTTTACTATATTATATAAGAGGTTTTATATAATAATAAGAGTAATTAAGGCTTTTATAAGAACTCTTTAATTAATTTGCTATTTAAGAACTTGTAAATTAAATTCCTCTATATCTCCAAGTTCTTAAGCTTAATAATAAAGCCCTTAAATTTATTAAGTAACTTTCTCCTAGTTCTTAGAATTAGTAGACTCAAGAATAATAAGTAGATAATACTTTAGAATATGCTTTCTAAGGTTCCCTATAATAGTAGTATTATATAATAATAGGAAAGAGTCTAATTAATAATATAAATAATAAAGTAAAGCTTTATTTTTATTAGGTAATATATAATAAGAATACTTCTAAATCGGGGAAGTTCTCTTTAAATAGTCTATAGAAGACATTACTATCTCGGATAGTATAAGAGAATAGTCTGGTTTAATTAAAGAAGATATTTTGAGGATATACTTAAGGTAAATTAATTATATGGATAGATAAAAAGTAAGAAAGGGAGTATAGTAAAAGAACTAGCGGTGGATTCGCCTATCCCTGTTATTATCGCCCTACCCCTGCTATTTTGGAATGATTAGAACGTTCTATTACCGATATTACCTAATACTAGTCGATACCGGCCGGAACGTTCCGTGGAACGTTCCAGGGTGGAATATCGCCAAGCCTGGATGGGGGTGGGTGGCAGAGAACCTGTTCGGCTTTTGGGTGTAGGTTTGCCAAGGAGGATCATCCGCCTGACACGGTCATTAAGCACCCGAGGAAGGAGAGAGAGTATGATCGTTATTGATCTACTTACTCTTGACTTGGGATGCCTTGGGGAGCTGTGGCTGGAGGGTTGGGGGTTGGAAAAGTCGGTGAGAGTGTGGGAGGATGATATACAACAACAAAATTGATTTACATACTTAGTTACATATTACGAGACTGGTTCTGAATGGATCTCTGCTTTGTTGTTTTGCTTGGAAGCTTGGAATTTGGCACGATTCTGGCCTTTTGACTGGACCCTGTTTAATCGATGAGATCCGTCAGGGCTGGATCATGGTATACAAATCGTTGAGTCTTAGGCTCAAGTCATAATGTTAAATACATCAATAAGTACCCTGTCTCTACATTCTCTCCGCCTTCTATTCTTCTCCAAGGCAATTCTCGCTCTGTTAGATCTCTTGGTTATCAATTGTGAAACCTTCAATGTCCTGCGCTAACTCTATGTTTTGGGGAAGCGAGTTCTCTTCCACCTCCGCCACGGCCGTTGATGCCTTCGTTGCTGTGTAGGGTACTCATTATCGAAGGAGGTGCAGAGTTCCTAGTCGACGCCTGTGGTCTGAATGGGTGGCTGAGGTTGCGGAGGTTATCGAAATGGGATTTGTTTGGTGAGTCTGTTGGATACGGTACGTTACTAATGATACTTTTTGTGGTCATGTGGAAATAGGCTTACCTTAACGTCAGAGAATTGGAACTCCCAGCCGTCCGAGATTTTGGCTTTTAGTTGGTTGGTTTGGTGGGCTGGAGTACTCTGGTTGGTTGGGAGGCTGGTTGGTTTGCTCCTTGAATTCCTTGGTTCGGTACCTCTTCTTGTCTCCCATGTCACAAAATAACATCAAAAGTCGTCAGAAGGGGGGTGAAGTTTCTCTTACTACTCCTAGTTCAGTCGCGTTTTCCCTCCTTTGCCTCTTCCGTTCTATCTGAACGGGATTCAGACATCACGTATGTCATATACGGTCGCGACGTTTTGACTTGACCCAACTCTTCTTGAAATACCTGACGCCTGAAACCTCTACTCCGTTGTATAAGCTGGAAAGGTATTGATAATTTTCTCCATGTTGCTACGCAGAACTCGAAAGGATGCTTTGCATCAGGGGCAGCCACTAATTTTAGAACTTTCAAACACCCTCAGGGACCTCTTCTTGCTTCATTCAAGAAATACATCTCTCCTTCTCTTGGTGCAGGCTCTCTTATTGTTACAAGCTCAGGATCTTTGATGAGAATTTGGGTTTCTAAGAGGGTCTGCTTGTGAGAGGAAAACTTGCCATCAGTGCAAGTCTTCCCGTGTCGAATACCTTAAGCCGAAAGGCATATATTTGTGATAACAGCCATAGTGACGGTTTGAGTTGACTCGATCAGAATCTGTGCCCAGTGATATAGCTTGAATGGGAATTCGACGTACATAGGGTCCTCCCCATGCGCCCGGAATGCGATGAGATTTCTTGCGGAACGATCGACCCCGGTTTGGTCAAGAATATCAAGACACGCCGTGATAAACGGGCCGATATCTTCTCGCCAGTCCGGATTTTCGATATAAAAGTTGATAAAGCCATCCACGTCATGGTCTTCGATAATTTCCATAATCGTCTGCCTGCAGAGCGGGTCGGACCAAGGAAATGATCTGAGAAGAGGCCGAAATGAAGCTGTCATCATCAAATCAACTATAGAAACTCTTCTTGCATTACCGGTACACGCCGATATTTCTAGTCCGTAGAGATTGCGAAGAAGTTGGATGTTCCGCTCGTTTGGATTGTGCCTCCAGCTTTCGAGCCAGGCTTCCCTCAGAGTCACCTTGGCTTGTTTCTTTGAAGTTGAGAAGACAGAAGCATATGCTCCAGCTACGGGGGTCGAGTCGGCATGCCAATATGAGTGCGATATTCCTCTTTTGAAAAGGTTACCTCGGTCTTCCAAAGACTTTGCAGTAGCTTTTACGTCATTTGCTAAAGGGCAAGCAGTATTCTCCTCAAAAAGTCGGAGGGGTAGTTCCACAGCCTTTGCTCGACGGCGCAACCGTAGTCCAGAAGTAATGTCGTTATTGCTGACTGCTGCTCCAGATGAAGACGCTATTGGGCCGTTATCGGGGTTGCCGTTGATCACAGGACTAGAACGCTCAATGCGATAAGCAGCTTCAAGTCCATCCAGAAGTGCTTCGATATCAGCTTGTATGACAACATAACTAAAGTCTGCTTCCCCAAATCGGAATCCTCTAGCCATAGTCAAGGCAAGGCGGCAGGCCTTCGACATGAACCACCAACTGATTGCATGCCACAACGCAGCATATCCCCATATGTAGCTACCGTTGTGTGTCCTGGACTCCGTAGCCCCTAGCATCTTCCTTATCACCGTTCGACGATAGAGAGTACTGTTCGAGGGATTGGTGTCTCTGTAAAAAGGCGGCGGAGGCAATTCTTGGCTGGCCGCTTTGAGGCACTGACGTGTTGCCCGATCGGCTTCCTTTCGCTGAGTTAGTCGAAACCCAGCTTGCTGTCACATTGGGGTATATTCCTCACCACATCAGATTGACAGTGTTCGAGATAGTCTTTTATAGCAGTCCAGATGGCCAATCGAAAAGCGTAGAAAGTCAGGACGGTCCCAGCCGCAAATGCTCCAGCGGCGATGATAGTCCCGATAGGCTCACAGTCCCAGCAGGCAAGAAATCTTACACAACGAACAATTGGGCCCGGGGCGGCCGCATGCTGTTGGCACAAACGACCTTGGGCACATGGTTGCTGACCTTGAGCCTGCTGGTTGCCTTGGTTCCCAGCACCCGCATTAGGCTGGATTTGCTGTTGGATTTGAAGTTGGCCTTGGGCTTGAGGAGCGGCAGGAGGACGGTTTGTTCCTCCAAGAGGGTTTAGCTGCGGCGTTCCCCAGGATTCCAAGGGGGATAGGAAGCTGTGCCATGATCGAAATAAGAAGAGAATCACGCTAAACTACGCAAAAACGACAAGATAATGGCATGCAAGGAGGGGCGCTTGATGAATGTGACGCTTGTCTTCCATTTTTGTGGTTGAAGAACTCTCAGCCTCACGAGGCGTGGGGTCAAACCTGGTTGCCAAAACGTGACGCGGGATGCTACAGTTAGGGGACACTAAAAAGGGCCCGTCGGCTAAATCCCTACCAAAAACAGCTATTTTGCGCACATTTCACTGAGGAATAACTCTGTCCCTTCGCCCGGTGAGACATACTGTGGTAGTTGAACTCTAATTCCTCAATCTTCGTGCCACATTCGGTTGGTAAGCTTGCCGCTCTTGCTCAGGCGTTAATTACCCTCGGCTCACTCTCGGCTCAGTCAGCTCACCTGAGCAACCTGAGCAACCTGAGCAGTACCCACCTAACTAATGAGGCTAGATATTGGCTTAGGGCACGCATTATGTTATTTTTGTCAAGTTTTAACGATTATTCCTTGGGGCCCAAGGAGGCTTTCAAGGATCCTGAATAAGACCTCTAAAAAAAAAATAGATTACGTTATGCCATAGGCTACTACCTACGGCAAATAGGTATTTTATTTGAAAGAGAGAAATTTGCTGCTATTTGCTATAAATCGAATTGGTAGTCTTGACCTGGCTCAATTCTCGCTCAGCTTCCTATCGAATTCTGAGGGCTACCACTAAATATCTGATCAAGTGGAAGGATTTGAAAAGGGTACTTGGAAGGGCTGTCTAATATAGATCGGATTATCATTTAGGCCAACTGAGACGCAAAGAGCTCAGCTTGAAGTCACTGCTTTATCAAGGCTCAAAGTGGTTGATCAACTGGTTTCCTATATTATTCTTCAATAAAAACAACGTAAGCAATCTTTCTATCACACGTTTTCTGCTTCAGGCAGATCCTGCAGGCACCGGAATCCCACCGTCTTATGTGAGAGGGTCGAACTTCTGGTCGCGCGGCAGAGGCGGAAGAATCTGGCTCACCCACGCGATGGCCTGCGGCGCTCCGAAGCTGATCTTGCAGCCGGTGGCCGTGGAACGGACCTGCATGCTCTGCTCGCTCGCTGACTCATGGAAGCTGCTCGACACGGACCACGGCCCGTAGCCGACCGACGCGCCGCGGGAGGAGTTGCTGTGCGAGTCGAAGTGCTCCTCAACGTGCTTGGTGGCGTCGCGGAACTCGATGGTGGTGTCGGCGGCGACGATGAAGGAGGTCGGGTAAGGTTACGCCGGGAACTGGTTCCACAGCGCGATGACCTCGACCTTCTGGCCCTTGATCATCTGGTGCAGCTTGAGCGGGCCCGGGCTCAGCTTCATGCCGTCCGCGACCTCGAGGTCGACGTCGCTGAACAGCTCGCCGTACAGCCAGGGGCGGTTGATGTTGACGAGGAGTGCGGAGAAGGAGACGTTCACGTCGCAAGCGGCCATGTCGCTCTGCATTGCCCTGTGGGACTTGCCGTGCACATAGAACCCGCCGACAGACCAGAGCCCAAAGCCGACCGATCCACCCACCTTCATGCCTCAGTATATCATATTGGATTAACCGGATTGGGCAACGCACGCGCGCAAAGATAGGAGGTAATCTTATCTGACGATCTGATTCCCACGGGTCAACGCCCCTCATTTCCACGGGCCAACGCCCCTCACATCCAACTGCCCGCATGGCCGCTAAACCAATAAAACAAAAACAAAAACAAAAAGGAAAAGCAGCATTAGAGCAGAGGTAATTGAAAAACTAAACGCTACAATAGTGGAGGTAAGGTAGTCAGACATTTAAGTTAGAGGGGGAGGATATTTCGGCACAAAAGTGAGAGATTAAGGCAAAGGAGAGCTAGGATTAGTTTAAACTTATAATATTATTATAATCCAACCTTTTTATTGAAACATCTTACTACTTGCGATGACACTTTTAAATGTTATTTACATGAAAACGCGATTATTTTCGATGGAATTTGATGTAGTTCGCATTTAAGGTGTCAATTTTTGGTTGGGGCGTTGTGGCGTTGCCCCGTGGAAATGAGTAAACCCAAGAACGATATGCCCCAACTTTTGCAATTTTTTATGTTGTGCATTGCAGAAAGGGGCTACTAGACGTATAATAAGTGATTGACTGTCTGCCCGAAACTAGCAACTCGGAGCCAGAAGTCTCAAAAGAACAGTAAAGATGCAACACTTGTTTATCTCAGCTTTGCTGGCAGGTGCAGCTGTTACTACAGCATGCGTACTCCCTACTGACACCCTCTCCAACAACATCACTGATGGCTTCGGGATCCTGATCCAGAATCCTGAGTTTCCTGCCATCCATGACCACTATATGATGCTAGACCCCGCTGGAGGTGGTGACATGCATTGGTTCGTTGCTGGATCGCCGCCAGTCGGCAATTCTGCGTTCAACCTAGTGCTCATCGAAGGTGTACTCGAACAGGGTGTCATCCACGCGGTCATCGATGGCGAGGTAAGATTGCCGGTATCCCTTAACCATACGAAGAAACCTGGCTCAAGTAAGGATTCATCTATAGTATGACCCAGTCGCCAACACGACCAAGATATTCATGACGGAACGCACTGATTATCTGGCCTACTTTAGTCCAGTGTACGCCTGTGATCCAGATAACGACGAGCTACAGGTCGTACTTGCGTTTCAGGGTCGTGAAGACTTTGGGGATGGTGGGCTGATCTGCGTACGACCGTCCTACGACAATAGTTATGAGTTTCGATACTCGCCTCCGGGTAATACTGGTAAGTCGCCTTAACCAGGGGGAACGAGATGCTGGTATCGCGTTGCTAAGTCGATTTTGCGTTTAGCGATTGACCCAGGTCAATGCATTCCGGTGACAATGGTTGTGGTACCTGCGGGCGAGGCGAGCACTTACCCTACCAGCGGCCCCTCCTCCTCAACCTCCAGCCTTGCACAAAGCACTCCCAGCACAACTAGCACCACCAGCACTACCTTCGCCAGCAGCAGCACCTCAAGCTCTGCGACGGCATCCGCAACGCTACAGCACAAGCCTGTCGTTGGACCCTATTCATTTCTAGGTTGCTATACGGAAGCTACTACCGGGCGTGCTCTTTCTGCCAAGTCCTCTTACGATTACCCTGGCATGACAGTAGAAGAGTGCGAGGCCGACTGCATTGGTTACACCTATTTTGGTGTTGAATATGGTGGAGAATGTTTGTTACCCTTCTAATAGTTTTAAAGTCTTCATACTAATATAAAAGATAGGTTATTGCGGTAACACTATTAATGCTGGATCTGTTTTAGCAGCTCTTACTGATTGCAAATTTATTTGCCCTGGAAATCCCTACGAATACTGCGGTGCTGGTCTTAGACTTGAGATGTATGAGCTTGGATCTGCTATTGTCTCTGTGACTTCTTCGTCATCCTCGTCCTCATTATCGTCCTCGTCCTCATTATCGTCCTCGCCCTTGTCATCGTCCTCGTCCTTGTCATCGTCCTTACCCTTGTCATCGTCCTTGTCATCGTCCTCGACCTCACCATCCATTATTAGCACGTCAACGTCAAGCACCACCAGCAGCAGCGCCTCAAGCTCTACCACGGCATCAACGCTACAGCACAAGCCTATCGTTGGACCCTATTCATTTCTAGGTTGCTATACAGAAGCTACTACCGGGCGTGCTCTTTCTGCCAAGTCTTCTTACGATTACCCTGGAATGACAGTAGAAGAGTGCGAGGCTAATTGCATTGGTTATACCTATTTTGGTATTGAGTATGGAGGAGAATGTATGTTACCCCTCTAGATCAAAGTCCTTATGCTTATACAGAAGATAGGTTATTGCGGCAATATTATTAATGCTGGATCCGTCTTAGCAGCTCTTACTGATTGCAGCTTTATCTGCCCTGGAAATCCTTATGAGTACTGTGGTGCTGGTTCTAGACTTGAGATGTATGAGCTTGGATCTGCTATTGGTAGCAGCCCCCTTCCATACACCGACATGACGGCCAACGGCTTTTCCTTTGTGGGCTGCGCCCCGGAGGCGAGTAACGCCGACGATGGCCCAGCACGTACTCTTACTGGAACCCTCTACGCGGATGACGCCATGACGGACGGGGAGTGTATGGCCTTCTGCAGCTCGCAGGGGTACGCGTTTGCCGGAACGGAGTATGCCCGGGAATGTTGGTGTGGCAATTCCGTCGCCCCTGGTAGAGAGCCGCAGACGACGATCGCGAGTCTGGCAAACTGTAACTACCCATGCGGGGGCAACACGGCCCAATACTGCGGTGGCTCTTCGTGGTTGAGTCTCTACCAGGCTTGCACTGCGGGATCTGCTTGTGTTAATGCGCAGTTCACTTAAACTTCTGCTGAAAGATGGAAGAGACACGTTCGAGGCCAAATCACGAACATTTGATAGCACTTGATAATACTCCTAATAACCTCTTGAGCTAGAGTTTACTTCAACTTCTCATCTGTAGAATACATCGGCCTAGTTAACATGTCAATGATTCCATCCGCCTGTAACACTAAAAGATCTTCTTCTTTATTATAATATCGAAGCACAAGTAATAATACTGCATGGTTTTTAGGGGATTTTAAGTGAAGTGGGTGACTTTGGTGTTCCGAGGCCCAAAAACTGCCCTATGCGATACAAACTTCTGCTCAGGCCCTGATCAGGTACGCTCACCTTCGGCCCGGGTATGCTCCCCCTCAGCTCAGGTTAAAGCAGCAGCTGCTCACATTCGGAGACTAAAACGGAACGAGCGAGGATGAGATTAGAGTCCGACTTTCGTGGTAGTCTGTTTGGTATCGCTAGATAATTCGAGATGAATCTTTCTCTCCTGATGTCACGTCAGTGAAACGAACGATTAATCAATATTTTTTTAAGCTCGCCATATCTCACTTCATCGTGTGTGAACGAGTTCAAGAACTCCACTCCTTCGTGCCACAGCCCAAGAGCCATTCCAAAGACTGCTACTTGTGGCCCTAGATGCCACTGGCAGCCATTGCTCGCGCGGCCTTCGGCTACATTCATTTTCTTGACCAACTTTGAACTCCTCAAGGAGGGATTCAAAATCATGCGTGGGCCGATTGTTAAGACTTCCCTTCTGCCAATTGTATCTGAGAAAGACCATTACAAGAGACGTTTGAGGAGTGCCGGAAACGTAGCGACTATAGATGGCGGACGAGGCAAGCGAGAAATTGCCCTCGCCCTTGAGAGTGACTGATACGGGTACAGTGTACCAGATGTCTGTTTTCATCAGCATTTGATAATACATAATACTGGCTGTTTTATATGGAATACAGCGGGAACCTTACCTGTTACTCGATACTGGACTTCATCAAAAGTGTACTCAAATTTGCGAGAACCAAAGGCTCTTTTCGTCGTCCAGAGACGAGGCAAGAATGGCACACACATATTCAACGAAGAGAATAGCTCGTCGCAACTATTTGATGAGATTGCGAATGGTCCCACATCGCTGTCATTCCCATGTAACCCGCCATCCAGAAGTCTACAGCATGGTGTTAGAGACGACGTCCAGTGTGTCAAAAAAGTATTCAAGGTATTCAAGGTATTCAAGGTATTCAAGGTATTCAAGGTATTCAAGGTATTCAAGGTATTCAAGGTATTCAAGGTATTCAAGGTATTCATGAATATTCATGAATATCTTGAATAGAATATGAGTAGCGTAATTCTCAAAAAAATTAGAGTAGAGTAGTATATATATTCATGAATATTCATGAATATGTGATTGTTGGTCACGTGACCATAGAAAATCAAGGTTTACTTAATAATTATTAAATAACTAAGGCGCCTATTAGTAGCTCTGGCTAAACTAAGCCAAGACTTATATATTACTGGCTAAGTACAAATTTTCTATAATAATAAACTAATTATTCTCCTCGGAATCTTGTGCTTTAGTTCACTTACCAAGCCTCGCCGTCGCCTAATTGGGTAGTGAGGTGGCGCGGGAGCGGGAGCGGGCGGGAGCTTTACCTAATATAGCTAGCTGCTTACATGCAAAATCACGTGCGTACTACTACTCAAAGTATTCACGAATATTTATGAATACCTTGATTAGAATATGAATAGAATATGAGTAGTGGGTAAATTTCGATAAATAGAATAGAGTAGTGGCCACTACTCTATTCTATTCTATTCATTTGACACACTGACGACGTCGAAGTTTAGTAGCTGTCATGTATTATGACTTACATAGAAAATTGTCTTGCAGTTCCATTGCCTTGTTTTAGCGCGGATGCCCAGCTGTTTAAGAATTCAGGGATGCTGAGAGACGTGGCTCTGTCGATCTTTTCGAGTGGTTTCCGACTGAAAGACTTTAACAATTTGGTTTCCCAGTCTAAGTTAGTTCGTAAGACCCTCAACAGAGAGCCCGTTGAAAAGAGGTTAGTTTCGTAGATGTCCTCAGCATTGGTAATATGATCAAGGATTGATGTTGGAACAGGAGTGTCAAGAAACACGGATTGCCGAAATGATCTTCGACCGTGAGCTGTAAGCGAAGCTGAGGGTGTGGATTGCGGCTTTTGATTTGACTCTGCCCTCGTGAAATGAGATTGGCGGTTCATAATTTAAATATATATATTTGCCCCGTGGACGAAGAGTTGAAGGGGCAGTGATAATCGTAAATGTTGCTACGGAAAGGCTATGAGCTACAGTGCCGCGTGAGAAAAGTTACGCAAAGGAACCTATCGATTTTAGAGCCAAGCGAAGGAGGGGCTTGCATATATATGCGCTCCCGCACTGGTGGTCCCGGCATGCTAGGCTGACAGTTCTGAGTTGGCAACTGCAATGGAAGGAGGGAGCCAAACTTCCTAAAAACATGTATCTTGCGTTGATTGGATTATCCAAGCGCCAAGGCAGATTTGTCGATGAAAAGCCCAGCTTACAGAGGGAAAATGTAAAACGACACTCCCCAGGTATCGATTGGGCGTATCAATAGATTTCAGAGTTTTAATAATGCCTAATTAGTTGTTATGCTTATTTAAGCCTTTCTCTCAAATCAGGTTTCTTAATATACGTATCAGGAAGTTTATATACAAGAGCTCTAGTTTTGGGGCGTGGGATAAGCGAGGTAAATAAGTTCCAAGTGCTTTATTACTAAATTTTCAGGCTATTAAAGCTTTAAAAATTTCAACTTTTCTTATTTTCCTTTAATTTTTTATTGAAAGATTTTACTACTTATTATATAATAAAATATTTGTGGAAAATATTTCTATTAGCTATTAGGCCTTTTATAAAAAAAAAATTATAATAATTCTTTTATATACTAAATTAAAATTAAAGAAAAGCCAGATTTTTTGGCGTTTCTCTGCTTTACGAAGATTGCGGCATAAAGTGACGGGATTACAGGGTATTATTAATTAATTTTCTCTCTCTCTGACTTCGCTTTCGGTTAGTGAACTTGCCGCTCTTACTCAGGCGCTAATCGCCCTCGGCTTAGTTAACTCACCTAAGCACCCTGAGTAACTTACCTAAGCACCCTGAGTAGCTTACCTGAGCAGGCCTAAGTATCCTAAGCAAGATTTACCATATTATCACATATATTAATTTCTCGCTTTTTAATTAATTATACTCGATCCGACCTTTATTCTCTTATATTACTTTTATTAAGTTTTAATAATAATACTTAAGAAGCCTAAATAAGTTTCTAAGAAACCCAAAATAAATACTTTCCAAAAATATATTTAATACTTTACTTATAGTATAAGTTAGATTAATATAAATATTCCTAAGAGAAGTACTTCTTTTTCTTTTATAAATTCCTTTCTATTTTGTATTTATTTTAATCTAAATATCTCTTTTTTTAATTTTATTATTTAATTAATTTCCTAAATCTCTTTATAAAATTCGTTTTATTAATTACTTTCTATTTACTACTTTATATAAATTATTATTTTAATATTCTTAATATTTAAAAAAGAGTTAATAAAAGAGTTTTTTATATAATTCTATAATAAAGGCTCTAGTATTAAGTTAGAAATTATTAATAAAAAAAAATTTTTAACTAGAAATAAAAAAAACTATATTTATATTTTAGAATAATAAAACTAGTAAAAGCTATTTCCTAATCTCTAATAAATATCTCTTCTAATATTTATTTCTTTATTAAATAGGTTTGATTTCAAATACCCTAGAGCTATTTTAAATAATATAAAGATATTAAAAGATTAGGCTAAATATATTATATATAATATTATAAATACCTATAATAATAATATTACTAGGCTAGGCTTTATTATTTACTTATAGAAGAATCTTATAATAGGCTAGTAATAGGCTAAATAGAAATTAAAAATAGACCCTAAAATAGTTATTACTATTTCAAATATAAATACTAGAAATAATATATCTATATTTTTAAATTATTATATATAATTACTAATAGAATATAGTTTATAAAAGGCCTTTTATAAAAGGAAATTGGCCTATATTATAAGAAGCAAGAAAGGAAATATAGTATAATAATTTACTTTATTTATCTTAAAATATAATTTTAGTTAAATAATTAATATTCTTATAAGAAATCAAGAACTAGATTAGAAGTTTAAGGCTAATTATAAATATAAGTATTTATATTAGTAAGAGTTAATAAATTTATATAATTAAATTACTATTTTAGATTAGATTAAGGCCTTTATTATTATATAAGTTCTTTATATTCTTAAATTATTCCGAGGTTTAATAAATAACTAATAGCTATTTTATTTAAATATTACTTTTAGGATATTTCGAAATAAAAATAAAAGAATAAAATTTATAATACAAGTTATAAGAGATATTAAAAATATAATATTTAAACTAAATAAAAAATAAAATTCTATTATTTTATATTTTAAAGCTATTTTTTAAAAACTAATTATAAAATAAACTAAAATATTTATTATATAAAAGCTTATAACTTTAATTACTCTTTTATAATCCGATTCTTATATATTTTACTAAATTTATTATAAAGAGAGTTTTTAAAAATTATAAAACTATAAATAAGCTTTTTAGTTTTAACTTGCTTAGAAATAAGATATTTTAATTATATTAGAATCTAGAGGTTTTTAATTTACTCTTTTTCTAGAAAGAAAATGAAGAAAATAATATAGTAAATATATTTAATAAATATATAAGAAAACTAGGCTTTTATTCTAAATATAAACTCTTGTTTATAATTTATAATTTTAGAATAAAAGATCTATTTTTTATTAATATACTTTATATAATATATATAGGATTATATATAACTAAAAGATATATAATAAACCTCGAATATTATAAGTATTAATTAGAGAAATTAATAGCCCTTTACTATTATAACTAACTACTATTTATATTATAAGTATTAGATTTATAAATTACTAATTATATATATATTATTAGGGCGTTTTATTTAGAAAAGGCTTTCTTGAACTTTATAAAAGAAATAGAAATTAGTTCTATACTAAATTTAATATTATAATTTTATAACTTACTAATT